CCTCTACATACTCCCAACTCCCAAGTTACCTCTACGTAATCCCAACTCCCAAGTTACCTCTACGTACTCCCAACTCCCAAGTTACCTCTACGTACTCCCAACTCCCAAGTTACCTCTACGTACTCCCAACTCCCAAGTTACCTCTACGTACTCCCAACTCCCAAGTTACCTCTACGTACTCCCAACTCCCAAGATACCAACACGTATTTTCTATTATTTATTGAAGAGCTTTCACAAACCTGTAAGATGGTCTCCAGGTTAACAAAACAATCATCGTCAGTTTTCATTACAAAGGAAAAACTTAAAGTCGCCGAGAGCCTATTTAAAAAGAAAAGCCGACATGAAGCAAGATCAATATGACATATGACGACTGATGTCGTAGGTAAGGAGATACTGGCGAGATGAATTATACACTAATGCAAGTTATTTGGGCAAAAATAATGTTTAAAGTTGATTTGAGACTGTCCACTTATCGCCAGAAATTTCGCAGTGGCATGAAAAATATAAAAGTCTCAGACACTCTCTTACCACGAGAAAAACTGAAGCAACTGGGATGGAAGATTTCTGTAAACATCGACATTTGAAACAAAAAGAATATCAGAAATAGTTCTGCTTTCTTTAAGTAAACGTTCATTCTCATCGTCTTTCAATCGCTGCCAATCCGACATTCGAGTTTCTTCTTCCTCTTTCGTCACGACTCTCTTCCCCGGAGAATCTACGGAGGATTGCAAGTTGCTAAAGACTTTAAAGAAATTTATTCATAAAGCATTGTACCATCTTTTCTTTTAATATTTGGTGAGGGAATATTAGTATGGGGCGCCATCTGTGGTTTTATTATTTAACCGCATAACACTGTGATTTTCCCTGATTTATTAAATAACCAATTTCTTATTTTGGTTATTTAATAAATAACCACTTATGAAAACATCGAAAATTGGTTATTTATTAAATAACCATTTTCTACACGCCGAAAATTGGTTATTTATTAAATAACCAGTTTCTGCGCACGCGAAAAATGGTTATTTATAAATAACCAAAATAATTTCGAGACACTTGGCGTGCCAAATGACGTCAGCAAGCAATAAAATAATTTTCTCAGTCCCCTGGATAAGCACTCATTTCCGCACTGTCGCGTTATTGAAATTAGATCGCTTGTCGCGAAAAATTTCATTTTGTCTGTAAGTTTCCCGCTCGGCGTGTTTTCTATTTGTCTTTTTTGTCAAATAAATATGTCTCAAACGCACAATCTCCAAAGAGCAATTATCGAGGCCGTAGGAAGAGCAGTACACGAGGCACTGCGAGATCAACATGAAGAGGTAAGATACAAAGCAAAATATTCTCCTTTCATACTTGTAAATATTCAATGTGTGATATGCGTCGAATCACGAGGTCGTCGATTTTACGTGATAAAATTCTTACAATTTTAGTCCTCTGATGCAGCTACTGCCCACGAAAATAATAATGAACCACAGGTAACATTCTAGTGTATATGGGTGCACGTTTCTTGTAAAATATGTGCCGTTGAAAACGTTTAAATTATTATCTAACATTAAAGTTTTTTCCAAAATCCAACCGTAGCCCCAGCGACAGCCACAGCGTCAGACAACGCTCACACAGTTGTCACAAAGTAGAACAAGTAGCTCTAGCGCTGTAAGTTGGCCAATGTTTGTCTGATTATTATCATGCATGACTGCACTATCAAAATTTTTTTAACACCTTGTTTTGTCTGCTTAAAAAAATTGCTATAAATGCACCTCATTGTTATATAACTATGATTCAATGTGGCTTTTCAATGGCAATTTACTACAGGCAACCAATCAAATGAATTATGTCTTACAGACCAGACCTCTTCCATCGATTTTTGAAAGCAGTTGTATTCAATATTCAAATGTTGGTGGTAGAAAACGGAAAAGGTCATCAACATCCCAATCAAAGTCTGCAAAGCTTTACACAAAAGATGTTGTTTGCCTTTTACCATCAGAAAATGGCAAAGATATTCCAATTCCTCGTGGAAATAGCCGAGGTTGCTTAGCTAATATGGGTTTAATTGGAAAAATCTCATTAAACTCCGCATGGGTAGCAAAGGATGTTACCCGTGAAATAACAAGCATATTTGCCTCAGTTTTTGACTTGCTACCTGGTGAACTGCTGCCATTTGACTACTTAGGGCAAGTATTTTATGTTTTACTACACTTATATTGAATTCTGTCACCAATATCAATATGCACAAAAATTTGTGATTGAGTCATTGCTAGACATTATTGACGATACTTTTGATGATATGATGTAATGATGATATTTTTTTATTTCCGGCCCATGATATTTATTGAAGAAGAAAGTGTCCAATTATAAAGTAGCTAATTTGTTTTATCTTTATAGAATAACCAAAGGTACAAAAAAGCTTTCCATTTCTAAGACATCAACTTCCTTCCAATGGAATGCTCCAGAGGTCATATCACTGTGTTCTCAAGGATGTTTATACATCATTTCCAAATGGGAAAAATGAGGATGTTGATGGAGCTTTAATTGTTGAAGTGAGTCATATAGGGTGATACTTTCGCTATGTCTGTTGTAGCAGTAATTGTTCTTCATCGTAGTGTTGGTTTCTTTTCTATTTCAATGTATATTGCCATTGCCTTGAATGAAAATTTCAGGATGACTCCGAACAGGATGATTTTGATAACAAACTTTTAAATATATCAATGTCTACCTGGCTGCAAAGTGTGTCAGGGGATCAATGACTATACCGGCTGCACAAAGTCATTCAGAGGGATCGATGACTATACTAGGTGCTGCACAAAGTTTTCAGAGGGATCAACTAGCCATCATATAACTTCCACCATTGAGAGCAATCACTATAGGTCAGTATGTATTGCTGTCAGATACCATTTTACACTAGTAGGTTGGGATACACACTATGTTACTGATTTTGTTTTTAAAATTATTGTGCAACGTCTGGATTTACTGTTTCTGTTTGTGATTGTTGGTTTATATATTCACCAGCTATTTTGGAATGACAAATTTATTGCTATGACTTTAAAACAATATTGGATGATAACGTACGAACGACTATGTTATTTCCAGTTTATTAATATGCATGATAATTACAATGACATAGTAGAATAAAAAACGAGTAATTATATACAGCTTATCTTTAGCAATGTATATGCTGTTATGAAAGAGTGTCCTGTAACAAATTTCTTCTGTGTTAAATTCTTTTAGGTCATTCTTAGGATTGCTTGATCCAGACCCCATTGAAATTAGCGATGATGACAACGATGAGGTGCAGACAGCTATTCAAAATAGCATGGGCTTAGCAAAGTATGGTAATCAGCTAAAAAAAGCGTTAACGGAAGACAAGATGCCATGCTAATTTTTTTCACTTGGTTATTTGTCTTTAGCGATTCAAGCGCGCAACAAATGGTTAGTACTGTTTTGAATGACCACATAGATAAAGTGATGGTTGGAAAATCCTGTGACGTAGCCATATCTAAAAACATTATTAACGTTCGCCGCAAGCATGTATTTGAAGACGGTATTGCCAAGCTAGGAAGAAAAATTTGATCCTTCACGTCCGTTGTCTGTCATGTTTGCCGACGAAATCGGGTCTAGCGAGGGTGCTGTGGATCTAGGAGGGCCGACACGAGAATTTCTCCGCCTTGCAGTTTCAGGAGCCTTTTCTTCGAACGCGTTCCTGGGATTGCCCTCGAAAAGGTGCTGGTTATGAACCAAGAAGGTAGTCGTGCGTTGATTGTCTTCATGATAAAACTGAATTACGTAGATATAAATTTTGTTAAATTTAGCCGAAGGGATTAATGTACGTTATCAATTTAGCTACATAGCTACAAAAGCACGTATCGAACAGCATAATTGTGTTTCCTTTACATCCAGCAAAGAGGAAAACTTGTATTTTCAATGTGGAAAACTTCTTTCCGTTTCCTTGTGTAATGGTGGAACTGCAGGACATTGTCTATCCCCCTCTATGTATGACTTCATTGTATTTGGTGAAGAAAATTGCCACCCATGTATCGACGATGTACAAGATTGTGAAGTAGAAAGTATCATAGAACGGGTAAATATTTGCTTTTTTATCAATAGTGAAAAGTCTGACGTTGTATCTCGATATTGAGCTGGCATTTTCACAAATCATACTTCCCGTCTGTAGATCAGTGCTACTACAGAAGAAACAACGTTTGCAACTATAGTAGGATCTGATGATGCCATTGATGTTTTTGCACAAGCTGGCTTTCACGGCATTCCAAAGTTTGAAACAAGAAAACAGCTTGTGGAAGAGCTTTGTCAATTTTTTCTAATTGATAAAGCGAGAAGTGCAATTGAGCAGTTCAAGGACTGGTTAAAAACACTGGGTGTTCTTAGCTTATTAAAAGGAAATCCACTTCTCTTCCGCCCATACTTCTGCCATCGTAGCAAGCCGCTGACCGCGATAGAAGTTGACAGAATATTTACACCAGATTTTCAGAAGATGGTTGTCGAAGACGTGAAAGGGAGGAGCTCGTTATAATGCATTGGCGTGACTATCTACAAGAGTGCGAAGGTACTTTAAAAGCTTTTTCCATCACCTTAAAAGATCGAAGTGATAGAAATGAAATAAACGCCTCGTATCTATAACCTCTAGGGTCTATTTAATGCCCCAGGCATTAATTGCATAATAAACGTTATTCAATTGCTTGTTATCAAACGTGTTATCAAATAATTGCTTTTGACGAACAATCCATTTCAAAAGTACAACTTTTATTTATTTTCTCTAGCAAACTGCTTTGCCAATGTTTCAGAGCCTCTTGTATCTTTGCCGATGATTATGATTTTTGCAACTGGGTTGGAGGAAGAGCCTCCCTTAGGATTTCATGACAAACCAACTATTTGTTTCTGGGAAGATGTTCGTCCCAAAAGCAACACCTGCGCTCACATTTTGTATTTGCCACTTCATAATGATAAAGATGATCTTAGTTATGAAGAATTTCAAGAAATGATGAACGATGGGATTCTGAACTCACCTACATTTGGTGCTCCATAGACATGCATGTATAAGAAAGCTGCTGAAGTTAGAGTCTAAGCAATAGTTGTGTTGATTTAATTTACGATTTGGTAATGATGTAAAACAACGTATTTCTAACTGACGTATCTATATTCCTCCTAGCATGTCATTACTGTATAAAATAGTTAGTGAAGACTATATTTTTACTACTCATATATGACTTGTCTTGTTTACGTTTTGCTGGCTGGCAGATCAATCCCAAGAGAGGTTGACCATTGTTGCTAATGTTCTCCAAAGCCCTAGACCAAATCTGCCTGCTAGCAAAAGTAAACAAGGCAAGTCATCTATTGTGCATGCAAATCTTCAGGGTTCTGCTCATCAAGCATTGACTGTCCCAAGAAACGAACAGCCTCAAGGTATGCTGCTTTTCCGCTCACTGCCGAAAGAGATTGAATGAATGTACTAAAATTTTGCAACTGTAAGTCACCTTGCAAAGGGCATGATATATCTGGTACATTGACGTGAGGTAAATCACTTGACGCTAGTTCTTCAATGTTCTAGTACATTGACGTGAGGTAAATCACTTGACGCTAGTTCTTCCTAGACCAAATCTGCCTGCTAGCAAAAGTAAACAAGGCAAGTCATCTATTGTGCATGCAAATCTTCAGGGTTCTGCTCATCAAGCATTGACTGTCCCAAGAAACGAACAGCCTCAAGGTATGCTGCTTTTCCGCTCACTGCCGAAAGAGATTGAATGAATGTACTAAAATTTTGCAACTGTAAGTCACCTTGCAAAGGGCATGATATATCTGGTACATTGACGAGGTAAATCACTTGACGCTAGTTCTTCAATGTCAAGATTGCTTGTGTTTGGTAGCATATCATCTTCATGGTATGCATTTCTAATGTTAACCCAAAACAATTGTTCAGGTGTTTTGTTTCCTTCTGTAGATATTTTATGGTTGTTGTGAGCAGCAACAAACTCGTCAAGGATTTTGTTGATTCGTGGCAGATACACTGAATGGAGGCAAAATATATCAGTGTCATTATTGACATTCAATACACCTTCACTTTCAAGTGCATAAAATTCAGATCTAAAACTTGTTAGAACTTGTTCATTTAGTGCTCTGTTATGTCTTTCGATTCTCTGATTGTGCACTGAATTCCCTACAACAACCGGCTTAGTTTCATTGCCTCGTGTTAAAATCATGTTGCGCCAGATGTCAACATTTTCGCCACCAAGATCGGTACGAATTCTATAAGGACGCCCATACTTCGAGACAGCACATAAGAAGTGATATAGAACAGTAGTTGCTCGATTGTTTGAAGAACAATGTGCAAATACCACTAATCGACTAAAACCATCGATACCATGGTGTATGACAAGTCTCCATCTAACAAGTTTATGGTTCCCATCAATATGCCAAATATAGTTGGGAAAAGGATTAGTATAAATGCGACGCTTTATTGGTTTATTTTTCTCTTCGACACCTAATGGATCAACCATATGAATGGCTTTTCTCACTTTTTGTCGCTGAATGTAAAGACCCCTAGATTCAAGGTACCCTTGAACCATGACCTCGCCAGCCTTAGGATGATTTTGTTTAATGGCGTCCACTTCTTTCTCTATTTCGTCTTGTGACAATTGTGAAAAGTTTTCTCGATACAACCCAGGGGCGGATCTAGGATTTTGGATACCATAGGCAAAACATTATGACGTCATTCAGTGCTAAACCTATGACGTCATACTTTGCAAAACATACTACACTATTTATGCTTTCGATAAATTGTTTAAATCAAACAGTCTAATCATTCAGCTATGCAGAATCTTGTAGATCTCAATCGTATAAATACATAAAAACATTGTATATTTATACTTACATATCACAAGGTCGTTGATTTTCACTATTCAGAATATTGAATGCACACAAGACTGTTTCGCCCCATATCAGGGCTCATCAGCATGCCTAGGAACACTTTAACGCAAAACAAAAAATCGTGATCCGGCATGGACAGCCCTGTGAGAGCCGAATTAAGCAGACTGGTTATGGCGCCAGAAGTTCGCCTACACACCTTTGAAAAGGAGTTTGGTTAGAAATGGGTGACTATATGGGATATTTCATGGATGTGATATTGCTCAATTTTCACACCATCCCAGTCAATTCCAACCCTTTACCCCCACCTAAAAATGAGCACTCTGGTTTTGAAGGCGCCAGAAACTGCCTTTCACACCTTTAGCAAATAGCAAAAGGAGTTTGGTTAGAAATGGGTGACTATGTGGGACATTTCATGGATGTAAGATTGCTCAGTTTCTTACACCATCCCAGTCAATTCCAACCCTTTACCCCCCACCTAAAATGTGCACTCTCATTTGCCAACAAATGAGCAGAATGTAAATGTAATGTAATAGTCAAAATAGAGCTTTGTATAAAGAGTCTTTGTGAAGACTAAAATTTGGTGTAAGGAAAAATTATTCTATTTATGCTTAACAATTTTTGAAAGTAAATTTATGTCGACAACGGCCGAGTACCATACACGTACTCAGCAGTTTTAAGATTGGAATGTATATAGGGAAAAAAACCTTTATCGGGCGAGCTATTAGTTTGATGCAAATTCTATTGACGTTACTATTGTGTACAACGCACAATAAATGGTTAACATATGGACATTTCAACAAAATAAAAAACTAGGATATGAATAAATTCATGCAAATTTTAGCCTTGTATTTCCAACAGCAAAAGTATTAATAACCTCACCAATATCTGGTACAATTTCCTGATGAATTTGCATCAAGGCCAAACCATTTAAGCGTTCCCCAACCATGGTACTTCGCTGATAGTTTTTAAGTGTCCTAAGGGAAGAAATAGATCGTTCACATTCACAAGAGGTAATGGGGAGCGTTCCTAAAATACGTAGTAAAATTTTAATGTTTTCAAATCCGGCGAAATGAACAGATTTTAAAGTCTGGGCAATGTTATCAGGAAGGAGGCCGCAGTGGGTCTCCCAATAAGTGTACCACAACCTAAGTTCAGCATCTAAGGCCAAAGGATTTGGCAAATCATCATAATAAAAGTTAGCCACAGTTTTGAATGGCTCTTTCCAATCCACCCCATCTCTTGTCATGGACATCATTTTCGTCGGTACAATGCTAAGGCCTTTATAGACATTCACACTCTCAAGGTCGAATCGTGATTCTAAAGAAGATTGCAAATGATCTAGTAGAGGAAGAGTAATTGCACGTTTATAATACTCAGAAATGGTTGTGTGGGGAATATTTTCCTGGTCGTTTGTTTGCGCACTGTTCTTGGTTTCCATTCTTCAATGCCAACTTTGCTGCCAGTTCAAGCGCTTCGTCATACCAGGTGTCATGATAAAAATCAGAGGAATTCCTCATGTTCACCACCTCAGTTTTCAAAGTTGAAATTAAATGAATACCATCCATTATATCGATACTCTTACCCTGTAATAACTGTGTTACTGGAAGAGTTGAATCAAGAATATTTCTCGTGATAACTAAAGCAACGACGAAATCAAACCTGTCAATAAGTTGAAACAAAGATGAGGCATCAGACTGAAGCGACGGTTTGAACTCACCATCTAGATTTTCAGACATATCGTTAAGGGTGGTGTATACAGGTACAAAAGCTCTTGGAATGTATCTAAACCTTCGATACGTTCTACCCATCTAGTTTTGCAAACGTCTGTTAATCTAGTCTTTTCGAGTTTGTTTCTGAATTACGTATATGTTTTTCAAAGGGAATATTGCGAGTTTGGGAAATTTTAATAAAATTAGTGGCATTGTTAACATGTTTCAACATATCATTGACAACACGTATACTCAAAGAATCGCAAATGGATAAGTTTAACCTATGACTATAGCAGTGTGTATAAAGAGCCTTTGGGTTAAGCTTTAAAATTTGAGCTGCTAGACCATTAGTGCAACCAGCAACTGAACCAGCCCCATCATAACCTTGCCCCCTACAATCATCTATTGATAAAGTCAGTTCCTTTAGAGCCTCTAAAAGTAGCTTGGCAAGTTGAGCACCACTTAGTCCCCACTTACAAAAAGAAATGAAATGAATTCTTCCCTGATATTCATATCGGTATCAACAAAGCGCAAAACAAGAGACATTTGTTCTTTATGTGAAGAATCAGATGCTTCATCAGCAATAACAGAAAAAACTTACTTTTTGATATCAGAAATAATCTGATTACTGATTACCTGGCCACAACATTTAATGATTTTATTTTGACTTGTTTTAGAAATATAACTTCTATTCTTACCACAATTCTTTAAATGATTTTCTAAAACTTTATCCCCTCTCCTAACTCCATAATTGAGTGTTTCAATGAAATTACCAACCCTCCAGATGAATAACAACCAACAGTAGGGTGATACTTGGAATCATCACGATGCCCACGAAGAGGTAAACCTAGACGTCCACAAAAAATGACAGAATCAATAATTGGAGATAGTATTTCCCTATTCTGTTCTATTTCTTTCTTGATACCAGCATCCATGATCATCTCGATAGGCTGCAGAGTACCTGATATTTGGGAACGCAAAGCATCAAAATTGGTGATGTGGATGCATGCAAACCGACTTCTCCCTTTACTTTTTCCAGCATGTTGAGTGAAAGAGCATTTAGCATTCTTCCAATCTTGAAGAGGTTCAGTAAACAACTTTTACTTTACTGGCCTTGCCTGGGAATCTATTGCCAAACAACACACACGATAGACAATACGCACCATTTTGTGAAGGTGAATAGCAAAGCCATTCATGCTGGTCTAGCCAATCATGCCTAAATGATCTGCCATTAGATTTAGGAAAATGATACTTTTTATCTGGTTTATATACATTTTTTATCAAATGACATATTTCAGAATTATCCATACCCTTAACTTTCTCCCTATACAAGGAAACATCAAAATTATGGGTTAAAACAGCAGGTTGCATATCACCAGAAGTTGGAATACCAGGCAATAGTTCCTGGGATGATGTGTGAAGCAAAAGACTATTGGCTTTATTTAATGTCTGAGCAAGAGCTGCAGCAGAAGAAAAACTCTCATTGGGCATCCTTTAAAAGTTGGTTGGGCAGCAGGCCTATTAGTTGAAGTAAAAAATTTGAAATGTCAACTGTTTTGGTGCAATATTTGGAAAAATTTTGACAAATTTTCGTTTCTCTGTTGTTGAGCTGCTAGAATTAGACTGTGTACAGGAATTAGACAATTTTCGCTTCAACCTGTGGGCATGGAAAATGAGAGGCACAAAATGATTAGACTGAAAAGTCTCACCTGGTTGTACAGATCCTTCATGACAAAACAAAATATTAATAGCATCCAAACCTCTTTGGCTTAATAACCGGGCTGAACAATACGATTAAATAACAATTTATATCTACTTTCACCAGAATCAGGATAAAAGTATGAATTTTTCTACCTAAAACAGAAGATAGGCCCAAAATACAAAGAAAAGATGACCATTTCTGGTCATTACAATTTAAAATAGCCTCCTGTTTTACCAGTTCATCTGTTGTATATCCAGTGTCTAAACATTCTTTAGACACTGACAAAGGCAAAAGATTGTTTAAGCTTTGGGCAAAGTAATCACTGTGCTCACTTATAACAGACAAAAGCATGGGTGTTGAGCATAAAAGCAGCATGAATAAATAGCTCAAGCGATGTTAAAATTCAAAGTAGGGACCAATGCATTGTTACCTACCAGAACTAGGGAAGCTGAACTGTAGAGGCAATTGCCAGAAGCTTCAGATCTTAAAAAATATTCAAGAAAAGAAATTAATATTTTGTTTGGTAGATTGATTGCATTGTATGAATGAATTGCTGACTGTAGACAAAGATATAGCCTAGCGAAATTGAGATTTAACCATTTTACACGTATATATAAATACTACAATACGATATATATAATTATAATATATTTACCTTATTGCAGTACAAGTCTTTCCGTCATGAGCGTGCTTTGGCACATATATTTCAGCTCCAAAATTTCGACACAGAGTATGGTCGGGGTCATAAATTCTATCTAACAGCTGCTCGTTAGTAAACATAGGTCGAACGTCGACCAATAAACGAGAATAAAGCTCATTAAGGCATTTTAAATCGTTTTTGGCCAACGCAGACTGAGCAGTCTCGTATAAATTACCACAACACAATGAAGACATTATAAAATATCACAAAACCGTAAACTGAGCACAGAGGCTGTTCAGAAACAATACGAGTGTATGTTAATTTTCAATTGCCTAATTTGCCTAGCTCAACTATGCTTATCAACAGCAATGATTGGTTGGAATTGCTCAAGTTAGGCAAAAAATTGACCAATGAAAGCATACGGTTGCAAAAATTGCCCAATCAGAATACCTATACACGATGTCAAGTTAGGCAAATTCATCTTGTTTAGGCAAATTGCTAACAACCAATCAAATGGCTAGATCGCCTTCTTGACTTAGGCAAAATGGCTGCTTTGCCTAACGACACGGAGCTTTATAGATAATCATACGCATCTGGACTACGATTCATATCAAAATTACGTCATTTAATTGCACAACATTTCTAAACAAAAGTCAGATGATTTGACTGCGATAAAGTGCTATTCATAGTTTCATAATTCGATAAATTCGTATCGAATCTAAGTCGAAGTATATTTTGGTAATTTCACCATAGGCACTTGCCTATGGTGCCTACCCCTAGATCCGCCCCTGATACAACCCATACTCCGACATTGCTTTGTAGACCACTGACCTGTCGACTTTCAACTGTCTGGCAATTTCCACAATCGTAAGTCGTAACTGAAGCAAATTTTCCAATACATCCCTTGGAATTATTTTCTTTGGTCGACCAACTCTTCCTGAATTGTTACTGATTAAAATGAAATGAGTTCAATACAAATGTAGTACTATAGAAATACCACATAATATTTGCTAAGTTTTCTTACCCCTTATTTTCATCATTTGAGTTGGAATTCTGGCAAAGTTATAAATTTATCAAAATTTAACGATGTTTTTCACTTGGATGCACCCATATACACTAGAATGTTACCTGTGGTTCATTATTATTTTCGTGGGCAGTAGCTGCATCAGAGGACTAAAATTGTAAGAATTTTATCACGTAAAATCGACGACCTCGTGATTCGACGCATATCACACATTGAATATTTACAAGTATGAAAGGAGAATATTTGCTTTGTATCTTACCTCTTCATGTTGATCTCGCAGTGCCTCGTGTACTGCTCTTCCTACGGCCTCGGTAATTGCTCTTTGGAGATTGTGCGTTTGAGACATATTTATTTGACAAAAAAGACAAATAGAAAACACGCCGAGCGGGAAACTTACAGACAAAATGAAATTTTCGCGACAAGCGATCTAATTTCAATAACGCGACAGTGCGGAAATGCGTGCTTATCCAGGGAGGACTGAGAAAATTATTTTATTGCTTGCTGACGTCATTTGGCACGCCAAGTGTCTCGAAATTATTTTGGTTATTTATAAATAACCATTTTTTCGCGTGCGCAGAAACTGGTTATTTAATAAATAACCAATTTTCGGCGTGTAGAAAATGGTTATTTAATAAATAACCAATTTTCGGCGTGTGTAGAAACTGGTTATTTAATAAATAACCAATTTTCGATGTTTTCATAAAGTGGTTATTTATTAAATAACCAAAATAAGAAATTGCTTATTTAATAAATCAGGGAAAATCACAGTGTTATGCGGTTAAATAATAAAACCACAGATGGCGCCCCATATATTAGTGTTTGGCACTAGGCTTTAAACTTCATGAGTCTGCACAGTCCATTTGACAAATTTTTCAGTTTCATAGTCATGGTAAAGACAAGCTGGATCTATTTTCATCGCTTTCTGAGTGATTAAATCGTTTGGTCACCTAAATGTACGCAAAATCATCTGAGCATGCGCAGTACGCTTGGAAATGCGCAGTACGCTTGGAAATGCGCAGTACAAGCAAAGTCTATTCGACCAATTGTCTGAGTAAACGATCATGGAAATGACCAACTGCATTTATTAGAATCAATTAGGGAGTAGATAACTTGCTTACTAACAAATTATTAAAGATATCAACTGAGCATGCGCATTTAACTTGACAGTTTTTGACTTCATAGTTATGGCAACGACCAGCTGCATCTACAAGCCCCGAATTTGAAGTAAATAGCATGCTTAGTAACAATTAAATGGATAAATCATCTGCGCATGCGCAGTACATTCGACCAATTGTTTATAGTCATGGCAACGACTAACTATATGTACTTGCACTATATTTGTGGCAATTAGCTCACTTAGTCGCAAATTATCAAAGAAATCATCTGGGCATGCGCAGTAGTGACTTAAATAATACCGCAACTTTCGTAAGCCTCTGAATTTTTGTATATATATATAAAGCCAATATTAGGTATAGTAGATGTCAACTAGCAGTGGAAGCTGGGTGCGATATGTATGCAGTGGCTTAGGGTCCAGACGTTTCGGGTCGCGACCGCACTCTCCCTGCGTACCCCGAGCAAAGCCTATCGCAGGTGATCTCGGGTCTGATGGGCGGAAGCTTGCTATTGCATCTCCCAAGTAGGATAGCGTGGAGGGGCCGAAATCTCCTACCGAAACGTTAACATGCGGCGTTCTAGTGCCTCGGCTTAAGCAGGTATCGGGAAGCATGGACCGAAAACGGGGTTTTTTGCTTTTGAATTTAATCTTTTTTTTTGTATAAAAAGAAACTAGAACATTCAAGGATATTGCAAAGTTAAAAAATTCCGCCTTAATGACTTATAATTTAAACCAACTGTAAATATGTTTATACGCTTTTACATGTTAACTTTTACAAGGTAACTATCTCATAACTCTCGTGATGAACGAGAGCCTCCTTATACAATATAACTCTCATATCATGAACAAAAGTATCCATGAGCTTCATGGAAAAATGGATTATCTAATTCTTATAATAGATTTTACAAAGTTAGCATTTAATAAGCCAAGCCATTTGTATCGTTTAAATTATACCCTTATGTCATAAATTCATTGTGAATAATAACTTTTTACCTTATTTTCACGGTTCAATCTAGAAAGTAACTTTACATTTCGAGTGATTTTACGGTTAAACAGTTAACTTTTCGGATTCATATGACTTCTTTTGATCGCATAGAGACAGCCATCCAATTTATTACGTACATGCATGTGTACTTTGCACTTCATTGCAAGAAACCACCCTACCAACAAATATCCAAATCCGATTTTAGCAGCATCGTACCCCGAGAAAAGCCTATCGCTAGGGTCTGATGGGCAGAAGCTTGCTATTGACATCCCAAAGTAATAGGGATATTTGCCACCTTTCAATTAATAGGATATCGAAATGGACCGAAAACGGGATTTTTTGTTTTCAAAATTTTCTCTTAAAGAGTAAACAAAATTAAAAATTCTCGCAAGCTTCCAACGGAAAAGACTCACAGCTTATAAGGCTTTGGGGCAATGCGTGGGCTACAACAGGAGAGGCATTCTTCATTAAAATTAAACTAAAATTGAGAAGAGGCTTACTCCCAAACAAATGCTAGCAACAAATCCACTTTACTGCTGAGGATATTTTGTTTCTTTTCAATGTGCGCAGAAAAATCCAGTTAAGAGCAACTGTTGCATCAAATTTCTCGTTGTTAACCGCGAAAACGAAGAAGTCAGTACGTACGTAATGTAGCATAAAAACACCTACTGTAAAGTCGATACATGAACGTTCCAGCCCCATCCACGCATCTAGCATCAGGAATTGATTCCTCGACTTCGGGAAAGACGGCGAACTCGTTGTTAATCCGTCTTATCTAGGAAAAAAGAGTAGGTTTGGGTTAGTATTCACCATAGATTTGTAACTGTAGCCAACAAAATATAAAATTATTTAACATTGAATTGGAAAACCCTTTATATACGTTCTAGTAGATTAGTAATGCTTGCAACATCGATTAAGTAACCAATTGTTTATTAATACACATGAATTTGCTACATCAAAAGCGAAATAAAGCCTCGTGCTCAAGAATCTGTTGTAAAATAAACAATAAATATCCATTGAAAACTTGTATTTAGCAATATCGTAAAATGTCAATAATTTAGTCCAAATATCGATAAGAGGGCACCGAAGAAAAACATTTATTACTGGATAGTAATTCTTTCGGAGAAAATCGCTTCACTTGCTCTAAATCATAACAATTCACCTCCAATTGGCTATGACATAAAACTTCTTTATGGTTTTATACCTTGTGTACATTGAAATAATCCTCTCCGTTTTCAATGTTGGCAAAATACTCGCATTTTCTGCATCGAGAACTTGAACATTTTACGTTTTCAGACACGACGCTGCCCTTGAAGTCCTATAATGGCATTTGAAACGTACCAAATGTTCAAACTCTATAGAAAAGTTCAAAGTCATAATTAACTTTGTGACTAAGCTTCAATATCTTACATGTTTGTGCATGTAGATCGTCCAGGTCAGTAGAGTCCTGAGAAGGACTGTTGGTGTTGATGTTGACTGACGTTTCGACAACTTTAGTGGTAGTTATCTTCAGAGTCAAGTGAGGAGTAAACGTCAGGTTTGCCATATTTGTTATCTGCTTGCAGACGTTTACTCCTCACTCGACTTTGAAGATGACAACCACTAAGGTTGTCGAAACATCAGTCAACATCAACACCAACAGCCCTTCTCAGCACTCTACTAACCTGTACAAACATGATAACGATACTCCCGAGCTCAAACAATTCACTTGAATATTTTGATAAATTATCGACTTGTTACTCACCTTTGGCAAAATAAAGTTTTCAATTGCTTTAAACGACGAACCGTTTTCTGTTGTACCAGGGTCTTGGAAAGAGAAATAAACAGATATAATTTCGCTCTGAAACGAGATAAAACAATTTAGATCAAATAACTTGTAAACGGTATTTATAAACTGCATGGTTTAACCTTAGTTGTTCTGTCGTAGAGTCGAACAGAAGAGTTCCTTTTTGAATTCAACGATGATAAAGAGATGCCAAGACGAGTCAAAATAATGGGACGGATGATCTGTATAAAAATAATTGTATTGTATTGCCAACCCAAATTTTTACTCCTGAAGCCAAACAGACACTTTATGCAACAGGTTTCAGACTTTGTTCAGAAGGTCCCAAAGTTCAATGCAACAGTGTCCGTTGAGCAGTTCTTAATGGCTACAAATAACTAACTAATACTCACATCAAAGTCCCATCCGATAGATCCACTGTGAAAATATCTCAAATTTTCTTCATTTGGTCGTTTGTAAGCAATTACTTCATTTTCGTAGTCTAAACATCAATATGACAAACATATAAACACGTTTGATCATGCACTCGTTCCAGCCTCTATGACGGTAAAATCTCCATGAGAGATAGCAACACATATTTCCATCAAGACTGTCTGATCTTCGCTACAAATACATACAGCAATGATAAATTCGCAGCAGTGGCTGATTAATAATTACGGAGCATGTAGGCTAAGGCAAAATTACGAGGCCTGGTGATATTTAATCCCTCCACTAAGCTCAGTCTCTTGACAACGTTTGCGTTCTTTACGTTCCTTTGCCTTTGCATTTCCTAGCTTGCGTTTGTAACACATAGTGTGAACGATACAAAAGAAATTAATAGTTCAAAATAAACTTTAAAATTATCAAAACAGTCTGCAGAAATAGGAAATCCTCGTCAGTTCTTAGCCTCGCGCATTTAAACACTAGATGGTACGAAAGTCTTTTTCGTCGATATTCAATCGCACGTACGGTTTTCAACATCATAAATGGTCTAAAAACGGCACTTTTAGCAAGTTCCAAGCAGCAAAAAGTAAAAACTAACAATGTCTTGGTTTACTTTTCGTAATGAGTAATCCGCAACTGATTAACTTTAAATATCACATGTATAGTAGGTTATGTTCGACGTTTGTAAATATGTGCCTCGTTAGTTTATCGCCTGCATCGAGATTCCAACGTCATATTGTTTTATATCGGCTTTTCCAGGCGCCAAACCTCACAACTATCAAATCAAAAGTAAATTTTCAAACTTGGAGATTCGATTTTCTTTCTTTCGCATTTGTAAGGATCAATCCTGAACTCTGGAGGAACGTAACATGCATTATTTGAAACGATGAACTTCACCAACACTCTAAAACAACAATGGAATAGTAACCAACACTTTATTTTTTCAGATTTAGTCATTCTACTTAGTTATATCACTGGTACAATTTTTTTTTTGCGACAGAAACGGTTGTTGGGAACTCTGGCCAAGAAAACCACAGCAAAGAAAGGGATATTTTAGGCAAGTGTACCGTGAACCGTTATTTCTTGTGAATATTCGAGTTTAGCCTCAATACAATGACGTTAGTCAACACAGTTAAATTTATCATATGACAAAGAATGCAGTTTGCATGAGTTGTTCTTGTGTAGAACAAAACTGATAAACGAAACTAAAGACCTTGCTGTTGGTATATTCAATAGGCCATCATAGAAACGCACAACGCTACACTACTTAAAGAATGGCGGTCAGCTAAAATGTCCAATTCGATTCTACGTAGATCTGACAATTGCTAAAACGTTACTCATATCGGTAATCAGATTAGTTTACCAAACATTTCACTGGTATTGAAGACATACGTTGTAAACGTTCTCTGGTATTGAAGAAATACGTTGTAAACGTTCTCTGGTATTGAAGAAATACTTTGTAAACGTTCTCTGGTATTGAAGAAATACGTTGTAAACGTTCTCTGGTATTGAAGACATACGTTGTAAACGTTCTCTGGTATTGAAGAAATACGTTGTAAACGTTCTCTGGTATTGAAGAAATACGTTGTAAACGTTCTCTGGTATTGAAGAAATACGTTGTAAACGTTCTCTGGTATTGAAGAAATACGTTGTAAACGTTCTCTGGTATTGAAGAAATACGTTGTAAACGTTCTCTGGTATTGAAGAAATACGTTGTAAACGTTCTCTGGTATTGAAGAAATACGTTGTAAACGTTCTCTGGTATTGAAGAAATACGTTGTAAACGTTCTCTGGTATTGAAGAAATACGTTTAAACGTTCTCTGGTATTGAAGAAATACGTTTTAAACGTTCTCTGGTATTGAAGAAATACGTTGTAAACGTTCTCTGGTATTGAAGACATACGTTGTAAACGTTCTCTGGTATTGAAGAAATACGTTGTAAACGTTCTCTGATATTGAAGACATACGTTGTAAACGTTCTCTGGTATTGAAGACATACTTTGTAAACGTTCTCTGGTATAGAAGAAATACGTTGTAAACGTTCTCTGGTATTGAAGACATACTTTGTAAACGTTCTCTGGTATTGAAAAATACGTTGTAAACGTTCTCTGATATTGAAGACATACGTTGTAAACGTTCTCTGGTATTGAAGAAATACGTTGTAAACGTTCTCTGGTATTGAAGAAATACTTTGTAAACGTTCTCTGGTATTGAAGAAATACGTTGTAAACGTTCTCTGGTATTGAAGAAATACTTTGTAAACGTTCTCTGGTATTGAAGAAATACGTTGTAAACGTTCTCTGGTATTAAAGAAATTCGTTGTAAACGCGACAGGCCAATTTGAAACACTGTTCTACACTTTACCTTCACAAATATTGTGTTTGCTGTAACGTTTCACACGCTAAGTAGCTCTAATTGAATACAAAACACACTACAGCTACCCTCAAGAAAATTCAGTGTTTTCCCTGTGCTTACCTTTTATTTAGAGATGAATGTCGTCTTGCATAGCCAACCCATGATTCACGTAAACTTTGCCTCAAATCAAAGTTGCCGCGCGATGAAAGTATTCCAACGACCAAATCATAATGAGAATAATTCTCTGCTGTCAAGAACATTATTTTAAAACATTAAAGAAAACAAGTGGAAACACAAATACAAAAATGGACTATGTAGGATAAAGTTTTTAGATAACATGGTTAAATAACACTAGCGAAAGTTTTAATAAAAGCTCACTCTTGATGAAAACATAAGACTGGAGTATATAAGGACTCAAGATTCAACATCAGATCACTCCTGATGAAGACACTAGACTGGAGTATATAAGAACTCAAGATTCAACATCAGATCACTCCAGATGAAGACATTAGTCTGGAGTATATAAGGACTCAAGATTCAACATCAGATCACTCCTGATGAAGACACTAGACTGGAGTATATAACGACTCAAGATTCAACATCAGATCACTCCTGATGAAAACATAAGACTGGAGTATATAAGGACTCAAGTTTCAACATCAGATCACTCCTGATGAAGACACTAGACTGGAGTATATAAGGACTCAAGTTTCAACATCAGATCACTCCTGATGAAGACACTAGACTGGAGTATATAAGGACTCAAGATTCAACATCAGATCACTCCTGATGAAACATAAGACTGGAGTATATAAGGACTCAAGATTCAACATCAGATCACTCCTGATGAAGACACTAGACTGGAGTATATAAGGACTCAAGATTCAACATCAGATCACTCCTGATGAAAACATAAGACTGGAGTATATAAGGACTCAAGTTTCAACATCAGATCACTCCTGATGAAGACACTAGACTGGAGTATATAAGGACTAAAGTTTCAACATCAGATCACTCCTGATGAAGACACTAGACTGGAGTATATAAGGACTCAAGATTCAACATCAGATCACTCCTGATGAAAACGTAAGACTGGAGTATATAAGGACTCAAGATTCAACATCAGATCACTCCTGATGAAAACATAAGACTGGAGTATATAAGGACTCAAGTTTCAACATCAGATCACTCCTGATGAAGACACTAGACTGGAGTATATAAGGACTCAAGTTTCAACATCAGATCACTCCTGATGAAGACACTAGACTGGAGTATATAAAGACTCAAGTTTCAACATCAGATCACTCCTGATGAAGACACTACGCTAGAGTATATGTAAACTCATCTTTCAAAAACATATCGTTTATACTCAAGATATTAGATAGACGTACGACAATCTATAATGTCATATAAATCACGATAAAAAATCTGGTCCCCGGAGTCGACATGCTATCAGGCAGGCAACAAACAAAGATGAGATAGCTGTACAAACCTGTATTATCGCAGCAAAGCTTCAAATCTTTAACAACAAGATGATTATAGATGTATAACACGAAAATAGCGATCAATATTAGTAAAGTTGGCTTAAGGATGTCATTTAATGTAAACATAAGTTGAAATTAAACAGTTACAATTAACTATAGCGTATAAATATCTTTCCCTATGTAAAATAATCTATACATTATCCTCAATAACGAACTATACACATTGTTGCATTTTAATATATACGAACTTTGACCTCGGGTGTGTTGCGGAAACGTCATGTAAGGAGTCTTAAAGCATCAATATAAATTAGCAAACTTTGTGATCTATGTTACTTATTGAACTTAAATTGAGCAATACAAAAATCTTAATCTTCAACAAAACATATCCAAAATATTACTATGAATGTATAAAAAGTATACAATCGCTAAAAAGATCGCCCTTCTCCTTTTGAACTTGCTCCTTGCAAGTTCAAAAGGAGAAGGGCCTCCCAAAGAAACCTAACCAAAAGTCAACCAATATTCGTGATTATTTGAGAGTGGTCCATTACTTGATAACTACTGACTACGATAACAAAGAAAAAACATCTTTAAGCCTTAAATGTAGATGTAATACAAAGTTAAATTTTATTTATGTTGCAAGTATTAAGACGGTATATTTTAAACCTCAGTCCTAAATTATTTGAGAACTCATCTGAACATGCACAAACAACTCAACAAACTGTTCGAGTTTACAATCATGGCAATGACAAACAGAACAAGCTTGCATCCTTCTGTGGTTCACTTGGTCACATATTGGGAAATCATAAATTTCAATCATAATGAGGAATTTAGTCATTTAACAAATTTTTCATATTCATAGTGATGGCAACAACAAGCTGGACCTATTTTCATCACTTACTGAGTAATTAATCGCTTGGTCACAAAATATAACAAGATCATCTGAGCATGCGCAGTACGGGCATGCAGCACGCTCAAGCATGCAAAGTCCACTTGACCAATTGTCCGAGTTGATAGTCATGGAAACGACCAACTACATTTACTAGCATCAATTAGGAGTATATACTATTTACAGCTAGAAAGAGACACTATGCATTTCGGCAGACTACTCGTCAGGTGTCAACGTCTGCTAAATGAGAAACTCCAAATCATGCTATATTTATAATGTTACAAAAGGTCAATGTCATCCCTATTTAATCTGTCTTTGTTTTAAGTGTCACCACGACAAAGTCTCTATTTCAAAGCGATCATCAGAGAATACATATAATATGTTAATCCTAACACGGTTTTATATGCACATAATAACATGTGACTTGGACGAGATATGAACTCACACTTTCGGGATACTAGTCCGTCGCGCTAACTGTTGAGCTGCCAAGCCCACAGGGATTGGAGACGATTCAAATCTCTTAAAACTGCGCATGGACGAGAGATTCTCGCCACTATAGTAGTTTACTGGATGGCACCGTGTTTCGACTTTATTCCAAAGCCATCATCAGAGAATACATATAATATATTAAGCCTAAAGGCGCATTTCCACTTATTGAAAACTTTCTGTAGAAAGAAATATTTCTCTACAATTGACGGAAAAAGTTCCTGCATCCATTTCCGCTGTATTAATGTATGTTTCTTCAGAAAACCGAGCTTGTTACAAAATTAACAATATGGCGGCTTTAAATAAACGACTTTTGATGTTGTATTTACTTAAGAGGAGGCTCAATCGAAGAGATAAATATAAGAAAAGTGTCTGGGTGTGAAAACTATACAGAAAACGTGATATTAAAGGAGAAATGAATCGACTAATCAAAGATCTTTGGTTATATTATCAAGTTTTATTTTTTACATATTTCTGAATGACACCAAAAAAATTCGAGGAACTGCTTCAATGGATTGGTCCCTATTTGAAGAAATCGTCTCAACGAAGGAAAGTAATAACCACGAGCGAGCGGCTGTGCGTAACTTTACGTTATTTGTGCACTGGAGATGCTCAAATAACCATAACAATGGCCTATCGAATAAGTCCCACGTCAATAAGTCGAATTATCAACGAAACTTGCGAAGCTATTTGGACTGTAATGCTAAGTAACGATATATTTAAAGTACCTACCACTGAAGACGAGTGGAGACAAAACTTGGTTGTGCCGTCCATGTTGTTTCGAACTCGCGGGCAGCAATGTTCAGGCAGTAGTTTAGGCAAACATAGCCCGCACGTCTACTTGATTTTGATTGGTTTGTAAAGATATTTTCCAATGAAAGAAAGAAAAAAGTTGAAATTTTTCAACTTTCTTTTTTCCTGGCATAGAAAAATATTTCCGACCGAAGATAGAGAAACACGACTAGTGCGCATGCTCAGCTTAAAGAATTTTCCAAGATAGGAAAGTTTTCAATAAGTGGAAATCCGCCTTAACACGGTTTTAATATGCACATGAAAAAATGTGACTTGGACGAGATTTGAACTCGCACCTTCAGGATACTAGTCAGCCATCCAGTAAACTATAGCTCAACAGGTAGAGCAGCGGACTAGTATCCCGAACGTGCGAGTTCAAATCTCGTCCAAGTCACATGTTTTTCATGTGCATATTAAAACTGTGTTAATATGCACATGAAAAACTGGATTAATATATTATATGTATTTTCTGATGATGGCTTTGGAATAAAGTCGAAACACTGTGCCATCCAGTAAACTACTATAGTGGCGAGAATCTCTCATCGATATGCAGTTTTAAGAGATTTGACTCGTCTCCAATCTCTGTCGGCTTGGTAGCTCAACAGGTTGAGCGGCGGACTAGTATCCCAAAAGTGCGAGTTCAAATCTCGTCTAAGTCACATGTTTTTCATGTGCATATTAAAACTGTGTTAGCATTAATATCTTATATGTATTTTCTGATGATGGCTTTGGAATAAAGTCGAAACACGGTGCCATCCAGTAAACTACTATAGTGGCGAGAATCTCTCGTCCATACGCAGGAGCGGATCTAGAGTATGTCAAATCCGTCGCGCGACTAATGTTTGAAATTCAAAAATTACCTATACATATTAATTAAAAATCATTAATTATTCTTACTTTATTATCGCATTTACTTCGTGATTAAAATCCAGCTTTATTTATTATTGAAAACTAATGACTAATCCAATGAATATCTCGTTGGTAACCAGATCAGTTGAATTTTAATTGACCTGGAATAACCGACTGATAAGCGGGGTGGCTTGACTGGTTCGACGGATAAAGGAGTCTATGAACGCCAAAAACGCTTATTTTATTGGTCAATGGCCAGATCAGTGGACACTCTAGAATGGTCTCGACTGATAAGAGGGGTGGCCGGACGTATAAGGGAGTCCAATGAAGTATTTGCCGGTTGCCAGTCTCCCTTAAATTTGCGCGGTTTTTGCAATGCATTCTGGGATCGCCAGGGGGCAAACATTTGTTTAGAAATATATCTGTCATAGTGATATTTTCGAGAATTCTCAATTTAAAGCACCATTTCCATTGTAATGGGTATCAGTTACCAGTTGGGAGAAAAGAAGTAAAAGTATGTGGAGACGGCAATTACTTCTATCGAGCAGTTGCGTTGGTTATAAACGGTGAAAGTGACGAAAACTTAGCTCATATTCTAGAAATGTGTAACGATGTTTTGATACAAAATCCGGCTACTTTTCGACCGTATTTATTTCGATACGAATCGATGGAAAGGCATCTGGAGTGAAGCATTATGTCCGCTTCGTGGTGAGAAACAGTGGATATGTACGTTTGAGCCACGGCCTTGCAGCATGAAATTTGTGTTTATGCTATGCTTGAGCAGAAATAGTTTTATTTCACTCCTCGCCTGATGTTACGTCCATTGTTAAAATGTGATCGAATTTGTGATGGTCCAATCATTTTGGTCTTGCATATCTTTCACAGAGCTGCTTCCCATTTCAATCTTTTGCAACCTATCAATAGTTGTGGTCTCGCACAATATCTGCCAATTAATACCAACCACCAGTGTTGGTTTATCTTGAACTTAAGAAAGAACCATCTGTTTCTAATGACCAATCACCTCCACTCAAAACTAGAACTGTACCTTGTCCATCAAAACCTAAAACATTATCCTGCCAATCCAAACCCAAAAGTGATAGTGAGTTTGTATGAATATACCAATGTGAATGCTGTGGTTCAAGGACACTTGAAATTAAGTGCCCTCTAACATCCAGGAATATGCATCCCAAATCTGCATTTTTCTCAACAGCTATTTGTGGGAAAACTAATGATAGTGGAAAGAAAGTGTTGAACAGGAACCATTTATATTACTTTCAAGTCCAAATGTGTATGGCTATAAGCCAAATCGACAATTGTGATTTTATTGTATTTACAGAAAAAGGAAGTGATATAGTGCAATTACCATTTGATGCTGACTTCTGGAGTGATGTATTTAAAACTGTGTTTCTTTTCTATAAGAATTATATGATTAGTAGTCTTTTATTGAAATATGTGCAATGATAAAATTTTATATTTACAAATAATAGCTTTTCAAAATAAAAATATTAAGTATAATTTATTTTAGATTGTGTGAGGATTACTTTATACCACACTTTCCTAAATTACATATGTACACAGAAACAAAATGTTGTCCAAAACTGGTTTTAATGTCAATGGAATAACTCCTGATAAAATCTGAAATTGCTTTAGTTTCATTATATTCCTTTCGACATGAGATCTTAATGAGGCAGCACGCCGAGTATGAGTTGTTCCATGACAATAGGCAGGAGAAATAAGGTGAACTTTCTTCACCACAAGTAGATCTCTAACAAGGAATCCTTTATCAGCCATGACACCATCACCTTTTTCTAGCAAGTTTATGAGACCAGAGTTGGTGACTTATAGCTGCTCCATGATATTTTCAGGCTACCAGGTATCTTAGGTATCTGGGAAATAGCTTGTTCAATAAATAAGTTTCTTTTCAATGTTTTAACATCGCCCTGGCAATAACAGTCAATGAGGTCATGTTTATCACTTTTAAAGCTGTAGCTATCATCAGAATCATAACTTGTAACATCCAAGTCTGTTGCACAATTTATTTGTGGATTGTCTTGGAGCACAGACTCTGGCTCAGTACACTGCTCAGGAGCAGTGAGTTCAGCAGCAAAAAATGCCTTATCCTCATGCTCAAAGCGTTTTAAGTACTGCCTTCACAGAGAACTTTTCGTCTCTTTTATTTTAGGAATATTTGATTTGCTTCTATCTTTCGGCGGTAATCGTTTACTGGTTTCTTTTGATTGGTATCCTTTCAGATACAAAGTTGGATTGGGAAAGCCTTCGGATCGATAACCAGCAAGAAAATGATTAGAACAAACCATCGTATTAGTAGTGACTTTGAAGTTTTTCCTGTTGATCAGCTTTTGCCAAGCACTCTTGTCTTTCGTTTTTCGGAGAAAAAAGCTAAGAATACCAACGTGATGGGAAACGATATATTTTCAGGATATCTCCTATCGTTATCACAGCCATAAACAGCACTGTGATCCCTATTCCCATTATAATTTGAATATAAACTTTTTACGAAAAGATATCTTTATAATACACAATGTTTGCCCCCTGGCGATCCCAGAATGCATTGCAAAAACCATCGTAGTATGCTATTCTAAACTTTACCACTTACGCTATTGGGCGTATGGTTCGTTGCAATGGTTTGAAACAATGTTGCTCTTTGCCCCAAATTATTCATGACGATCACATGATCCTAGAAGTGGGGAATTCCGAGAATTAGTGAGAATGAAACAAGTTTATATAAATTTATGTATCGCAAACCTCCATTCATGGTAGTTTTTGTTAATTTATGACACCATACTATTTGATTTGATTCCCAAACTAATTCTCTCTCCCAAAGAAGAAATTTGACTTAGGGACTAACCAAATTTAAAATTGATTCTAAACACCAGTGATATCTCAGTAATCGAATCTACATTTTTTTGGTAAACCACACCAATCCACTTTGACCTAAAAGTATTGACCACCTGCGTAGGCTATAGCATATGAAATAATGAGAGCTTTGCAGGTGCACAAAATGGAGCCGTGAAAAGAATGTATTCTTAAGAAATTCCACCCACTTAATTATTTAATAAATAAACTTCTATCGAAAGATAAATTTATATACCAGTAACATAATTTGTCCACTTCCAAAGCGCCCCTTCCATGAATGGCATCTTAATGAAGTCCTTTCGTTTCATTCAAAATACTCGCATCACTAAATCACTTGATTCTAGTAAATATTCATGAATGGTGATTGCAATTTAATTGCCACGTCGACCGCCATCTTGACACAGCTAACCTAAGACAAGAACTGCGTAGGAGGTCATTATTATCAAAATAAAATTGTAGAATGGTGAATAAAATATCTTTTTCTGTTTTATTTCTGCCAAATATTTAGGTGAATTAGATTATAACGTTACGTGCGTACTTGAACAGGAAAGGATTTCTCTCATATTCATTATTATCCTCCAACTATTGAAATAAATCGAATAACACATACCTAATTAAATATTCGTTCACATTCTACATTTAATATTTATGTATGCTCCGTTGTGTTGTAAACAAGGAAATTTTGAGTCAACTGCTCTGCCTCTGAAAGAAATCAGAAATGTCTTCGTTAAGCGAACGTGATATAAATGCATTGAAAGATGCTATAGATTTGTATGATACTATGGGTGATGGAAAAGTTGATTCTAGTGCTTTAGCTGATATCCTACGAGCGATCGGTGAGAATCCTACAGAAAGCGAAGTTCAGAAATTTCTTGTTCAACTTGATCCTTCTGGAAACAAGCGTATAACCCACGAAGATCTTATACCAATTGCACTTTCTTGCAAGCAAAAATCGAGGAAAGTTAAACCTCAAGAATTCGTTGAATGCCTCCGTGTTTTCGATAAGGATTGCTCTGGGAATATCAGTTGTGCTGAACATCGACAAGTTTTGACTACATTAGGAGATAAATTGACCATTGAAGACGTCGACATGTTGACAAGTGGTTTGGAACAGAAAGGACAAGTGAATTACGAAGAATTTGTGCGAAGTGTCATGTCTGGTTGAAACCGAAATCGAAACTTCGAAAACAAACGACTAAGCATTGATATTTAAAAACATTTTTAATTATCTGTCATCGGTTTTTATTGACTTAAGTTTAAAACTTTTATATTTTCGAACGTGACGTTAGACAGTTTGCTGGTAATTTATTTGTAACCTTTGCATTCAAACTATGTGTATTAAGGTAAACTAACGTATTTATTCATGTTATATACATTTTTTGTTTAAGCCCCGATGAAAAAATAAACCACGACGTTATCAGCAGTGGCGAGAATGAAGCGAGGAAAAAGTTCTGCAAAATAAAAACAGCTATTCGTAGAACTGGATTTGCCTTCCAAGTGTTTCTCATGTTGCATTTTCTGCTCTTAAAAAACATTTCTAGTTAAAACCATCATGAAGACACTTGAATCATTGTTGCTTTACTTGCTTCCTATTGGTTTGATGGTTCGCCTTCAAAACCGCTTAAACCAAGCCTATCAAGTTATCGAGGACTGTGATTTAGAAGAGCAAGAAAAGAAAGGATACATCTTCTTCCATATGTACGCCATAAGACGCATGTGTAAATACGTCAAAACAGCACAAGGTTTGAAAATCTTTGGTTACAGCCTTCCAACCTTCCAGGCTTTTATTCTGGCGGCCTTTGGTCCGTTTTTCGGTGTTGTTCTACATGGAATATTTATTCACATCCATGCAAAACAGAAATGAATGACCTCTGAAGATATTCTTTATGAACAACAAAATCTTTTTCAGAAATGGGTAAAGGGGGTTGGAGTGGACTTCCAGTGTCTTGCAAGGGTTATCATTTCTTATATCAAAATCAGATTATATAATTTCTTCTCCAATAGTTAATCCTTCCAATGTCCTCAGACTAAAGCAAAAGTTCATAACGTCCAAAATGGTACAATTAAATTCTCGCATTGAACTCTTAAAAAAAGGAACGTTTAAAGTACGTTGTACTAGTTTTTTGTTTGAATTATTATGTAGTGTTTTTATATGCTTTAGTTAAGGATATTGCATATGATGCGATAAACCCTAGAAATATGTATGTACCTACCACATATGATGCAATTTTGATTATTAACGTAATTTAAAAGGATAGTTAAGGGTAATTAAGAAGTTTCAGGTGTTTTGAGATGATTTTTGAAAATAACTGTTAGTGGTTTTACACAAGAGTATGGAGTAAACAGAACTTAATGGTAGCAGCAAATGATTCATTTTAGCAATCCTAATAGGATGGGATAAAGGGAAAGACAAAGAAAGAGATTAGTTGGTTTTCAAATAATTATCTTTAGCGAAAATTCATCGTGTTCTTCTGCAGGAATTATTAAAAAATGGTTTTATTTTACTCTTTACAGTTTGTTTCTTTGCCCTTCGAATGACTTGCAGTGCATATCATTTTGTTGGAAAAATAGCAGTTAATATAAATAGAAGCTACATGCACACTTTAGCTTGATTCAATTCAACTGTATCGACTTGCCAATTTGACTTCACCAGATCCAGATATATGGATAAAACATTAGTCACATGACATTCTTCTATGTAAACGATATCATATCGATGTTAAAGAATACGATAGACAATTAGATATGTTAAATATGACTTGACCACATACCCACTGCAATGTTGTTTTTAATAAGTCAAATGGAACTGTTATTCAATGTATATTTCATTCCCCATTTGATAAATGAGAAAAAGATAATTTGACAAAAATACGTTGTAAGACAAAATAACATATTGTTCCTGCTTGTCTATGACTTTAGGTTTAAAGACCATAGAGGGCCAAACTGCGATATCTAAGTTGATTTTGATAAATAAGAAAGAGAGTCTTGCCATGAAACAACAAATCCATCACAAGTCACAGTTTTTTATAATTTATTGTACGAACATTTTTACTTGCTAAAACTTACATATTACTGGAAGTCGTTTGAGAAGTTCCTTTCTCTTAAATTTATTCTTAAGTTTATCATACATTACATTACAGATGTAAATTTTTTTTTTGGGTCTAAGGACATGAGAGTAGAAAACATTGAGGTGTAAAATAATCTCTAAACATGAAAGAAGATGCCGCTACTATACTGGGGAAATGCCAGTAAATTTGATGATCAATTTTCACATGTTTTATACTTGTTGCGAGGTATGTCATTTTGTACGTTTTATGTAAATTTTCGTGAATTAAAAATACTGTGAAAAGTCCCAAATGGATTGCCAGCCGATGAAAAAATCATTTTACACCTTAATGATTTCTTCCTCTAAATTGTTTTCATCAGTTACCATGTTGGGGCGAAATTCCATACAGTGAAAAGAATTTCTGCTAATTTTATGCTTTGCTGAGCTTCGACACTCTCATGTACTCTCCCAACATGGCTTATATGACGTCAAAAGAAAACACACTATAGCTACGGTTGAATGAAAACAGCCCCAAACATCATTAAATATTTGTTAAAATTGCGTATATATTATTACGAAACAGCGATTTTGTGCACGTTATGATGACAAATTTCCATATTGCATTGAAAAGCGTATTTCGAAAACATTTATCAAACGCTGACACTTGCTGGCATGGTGACCATGTTTAATTTAAATACATATGCATATTTTAAGCTGACAGTCGTTTCAAAACTACCGATGGATGTTATTTATTCATCACGGCATAAATGCTTTTCAAACAACATTATTATTCTAAAATCATTACTTAATAGAAATTTGTACAACATTATTCCAAAATAGGTGGCAGGAGCCTACTTTGAAATACTTTACCACAAAATTCGTTTTCTAAGTCAGAGAGCGAGGGAACTCTCTGACTTAGTAAGAATACGCCGAATTCAACAGAGTATATATGCTCTCTCAAAATCCAAGATTTCTTAAAAATCTAAAAGATAGCCAAAGAACAAATTAGCGACACAATAAAAACAAACACATAAACCTGAAAAAAGACTGAAGTCACTAAGCTACAAGTCAGTGAAACAAATAAAAAAATTTTTATACCTCATCTTGTTTTTCATCTTGTTCTCCATCAGCATGCTTCCCGTCTCTCCGTCAGCATCCTCTTCGTCGCTCCATCAGCATCCTCTTCGTCGCTCCATCAGCATCCTCTTCGTCGCTCCATCAGCATCCTCTTCGTTGCTTCATCAGCATCCACCTCGTAACGCCATCAGCATCCTCCTCGTAGCACCATCAGCATCCTCCTCGTAGCACCATCAGCATCCTCCTCGTAGGGCCATCAGCATCCTCCTCGTAGCGCCATCAGCATCCTCCTCGTAGCGCCATCAGCATCCCTCCTCGCAGGACCATCAGCATCCTCCTCGCAGGACCATCAGCATCCTCCTCGCAGGACCATCAGCATCCCTCTTCGTAGCACCATCAGCATCCTCCTCGTAGCTCCGTCAGCATCCTCGTCTCTCCGTCAGCATCCTCTTCTTTTCATCAGCCTCCTCCTCATCTAAACGAAAAATCTAAAACAAGTTAAGATTAGGACAGGAAAAATAATAACGTACTCCTCTATCTTCTTCTTGATCTTCATCTCTTGTACCTAAAAAGACTGAAGAAGAAGTTATTTGTTTGATGGAAACAAACAATTGTAAGCACCCACCACTGCCAGGGTTCGCGTTCTTTCACTGTCCGTACGCTCGACATGTCTATAAAATGCAACAACAATATCATGGCAAGTGATTATGGAGATCGTGCTTTCGCATTGTAATAGTTTTATCATGCTAAAACATTGATATCCATGACTGTACATGATTGAACATGTATGTTAAGTGAACAACTCTTTGAAGATTATAAGACTCGCGGAAAGCTTATCGTTTGAACCGTGCATTGTGTTATAACACCCCTCAATGTTATAACACATGCAGTGTTCTGTAACATTGTCAAACGATTTATTACATGCGATATAATTCAAAAATACCTAGATAAAAACAAGATAATTAACGAATGTCTCATGCAATATATTCTCTGCTCGCTCAACTCTTTTCGATTTCATCCAAAAGGTTGTTTAATTATTTCGGTAAGGCACTAAGGTTTATAAAAGATTTTGCAACACTCTGCCCGCATGTTGCAATATCAAATGAATTATCTTATTACCTCATTATATATTACAGAATATACAATTCTGTAATATATAATTGAGGTAATTGATTTAAATTCCTCGTCTCTTCATGTGCATCCTTCTCGTTTCTTCATGTGCATCCTTCTCGTCTTTCGTATCGTCTTTCCATCTGTCTTTCCATCGCTGATCTCCTGTCTTCTTTCCATCTGATCGCATCTCTCGATCTGATTTGATCCATCCATCCCTTTCCGATCTGATCGATCGCCGATCGACGATCGCCCTGATCGCGTCTTTCGATCTTCGATTCCATGCCTCGCCGATTTGATTCTCGACGATTCCGGATTCTGATTTGCGCGACGCTGATTTCGCGATTTGACGGATCCTCTCGATCTTTGATCCCTCCTTTTCTCGCATTTGTCTTCCATCTCTCATCTCATCCTGTCTCTTCATCTGCATTCCTCGCATCCATCTCGTCTCCATCATCTCCATCCTGTCGTCTCTTCATCTCCTCATCCTCGTCTTCCATCTGCATCCTCCTTGTCTCTCCATCTGCATCCTCCTTGTATCTTCATCTGCATCCTCCTCATCTTAACGAAACATCTAAAAATCAAGTTAAGATTATGACAGGAAAAAAATAACATACTTCTCTATCTTCTTCTTGATCATCGTCTCTAGTGCCTAAAAATAGACTGAAGAAGAAGTTATTTGTTTGATGGAAGCAAACAATTGTAAGCACATACCACTGTTAGGGTTCGTGTTTTTCATTGTCCGTAAGCCCGACATGTCCACATAAATGCAACAAAATTGTTGAATGAAAATCAGCAAGTGATTATGGAGATCGTGCTTTCACATTGTTATAGTTCTATCATGCTAAAACATCGATATCCATGACTGTACATGATTGAACATGTATGTTAAGTGAACAACTCTTTGAAGATTATAACACTCGCGGAAAGCTTATCGTTTGAACCTTGCATTGTGCTGTACCTCAATGTTACAACACATGCAGTGTTCTGTAACATTGTCAAACGATTTATTACATGCGATATAATTCAAAAATACCTAGATAAAACAAGATAATTAACGAATGTCTCATGCAATATATTCTCTACTCAAATCTTGTCGATTTCATCCAAAAGGTTGTTTGATTATTACGGTAAGGCACTAAGGTTAATAAAAGACTATCGAGTTTAAAGATTTTGCAACATTCTGCCCGCATGTTGCAATATCAAATGACTTACCTCAATTATATATTAATATACAAATATTCTATGATATATAATCGAGATAATTCACTTGAATTCCTCGTCTCTTCATCTGCATCCTCCTCGTCTCTTCATCTGCATCCTCGTCGTCTCTTCATCTATCCTCCCCTTGTTCTTCCATCTTTCTTCATCCTTCCTTTTCTTATCTATCCTTCCTTTCCTTTTGCATCCTTTCCCTTAAATCGGCATCGAACTTTTGTTTCTTTATCCTCATCCTTTGTCCGTCCTTGATCCTCCTTGTTCATTTTCATCCTCCTCGTCCTTCATCTGCATCCTCTTTTATCTGCATCCTCGTCTCTTCATCTCATCCTCCTCTTCATCTGCATCCTCGTCTCTTCATCTGCATCCTTCTTGTCTCTCCGTCAGCATCCTCTCTACTTTCATCAGCCTCCTCCTCATCTAAACGAAAATCTAAAACAAGTTAAGATAAGGACAGGAAAATAATAACGTACTCCTCTATCTTCTTCCTGATCTTCATCTCTTGTACCTAAAAAAGACTGAAGAAGGAGTTATTTGTTTAATGGAAACAAACAATTGTTTAGCACATACCACTGCCAGAGTTCGCGTTCTTTCACTGTCCGTACGCTCGACACTGTACATGACTGAACATGTATGTTAAGTGAACAACTCTTTGAAGATTATAAGACTCGCGGAAAGCTTATCGTTTGAACCGTGCATTGTGCTGTAACACCCCTCAATGTTATAACACATGCAGTGTTCTGTAACATTGTCAAACGATTTATTACATGCGATATAATTCAAAAATACCTAGATAAAAACAAGATAATTAACGAATGTACGAAGGTACGAAGGTACGAAGGTTTATAAAACATCATCGCATTTGAAGATTCAGCAACATTTTGCCCCCATGTTGCAATATCTTGTATACTCTATAATATATATTTGAGGTAATTCATTTGAACGTTTCTCAAGTGAATTACCCACTTTTATCTCACCTACTATAACATCACTTGATGCTACAGTAGTTCCTCTCAGGAGCAGGGACGGATTAACCAAAGGAAGCTGTCTAGAAGCCTCCACAAACAAGGGCCTTCACATTATTCAAAGGAAGAATAAACATAGTTGCTTTAAAGACGAAGGAAAAGCATTTAGTTTATTTGTTGGATCAATTTCAGCTGATGAAGAACAGACCACGTATGACAACGAATCACAGTAAACTCAGCCATTTTGCTCTGATGAGCATTGAGGACAATATTCTAACAGAAATAAACTTGGAAGAACTTATCAAAGACTGCCAGAATAAAATCGCAATAACTACTTTATCTCAAGTAGCAGCATTCACTGTCGTATGCAACCGCTTTACACGCTATATTCGAAGTTTATACTTTTATCAAATGCTTTACGAAATTTGAAAGTAAATTTTACTGTTGAAAATGAGCAGCACATTGCGTTTAGAGTAAGGGAAAGGGATCTTTACTACGTATTTTGCTGCTCAGAGCCTCCACACATCTTAATCCGGCCCTGCTCGGGAGACATAATATTATATCCTTTTGTCACAAAGACAAAGGATTGAACTTGCTATTTCTAACAATGGCCAGTTGTTAGAAATAGGCAAATGCAAAATCATCACACTTATGTGAATGATAACGATGAATGCAAAATGAAAATATTTTCTGGACATGTATTGAAGAGGTCCAATAATTGATGTCAAGAATAGTGGGAAACTTTTGGCAGTTTCTGTTCGTGTTCTCACTTCAATATGTAACTGAAACTTGACGGCATTTTTGTGCTCCAAGATCGAAACATAGAAATACTAAGAAACCAAAGAAATCGATCATTCCTTCGAACAAATAGGACTCATAACGATGCTTTGAATATGCTGTAACGAGAATTCACATCACAATTGGGTTATACATTTTAATTCATCGATCTCAAACTTACATCTTTATGTCATCGACGATTTTTCTGTATTTAACCTGCCGCTTTCAAACATGGCTAAAATATCTCAACCGTGTCATGTCTTCAGTTGCTCGTCCTTTCCAACAATTAGTCGCATTTCTTGAAGGCTGTCTTCGACCAACAGACTTTCACCTTTCCCAGACGAACAGCTCGGTCAAATAGGGTTATCGAAGTGAAAGACCCTACTTTTTCTTCTGATAACTTTCATATATCACATGAATTAATTATTAATTCATTCGTCAATTTTGTTCAAACCATGATAAAAAGGGATTAAATTCATTGATTGCATGAAAATATATGCAGGGCAAAGACAAAAGGAATTAAGCCTGGTTATAAGTTAACTAACGACATTGGTTAGTAAAAGAAAGCAAAGCCTTTTCCCCAGAGGTTTGGAGAAAACAAAAGAATATTTCTTTTGTTTCCTCAATGAAGAGTTTGCGAAATCAATGATTGTAAGGTTATGACGGCAGACAGAGCATGTCGTGTTGTGGTAAATTTTATCTAGTATGAACAAAAAATTATCTCACCCAAAACCGCAATTCAATGCACCATAGCTAGGAGAGTTATCATTTTTCTCCCACCTGACCACCTTTATTCAACTTGTTACGTCAACAAATAAATTAGAAGGCATATCAAAAGCTTGTAATTTATTCACGTGGGAATCACCCACATGTTATAGAAAAGCTTTTGTCGTGCTCAATACTTATTATGAACATTGGAGCCCTGCTTATTGCAATAATATGACTTGCCATTGTAAAATGTAATGTAATAATTTAACGAGAGAATTTTATTGACAGAACTAAATGGTAGCAAGTGATTCATTTTAGCAATCCTAATAGGATGGGACAAAGGGAAAGAATGAGAGGTAAGTTCGTTTTCAAATAATTATCTTTAGCGATGTAACGATAGCAGGACTTTCAAATGCGGTAAATGTTTTGTGGGAAAAGCGCGATTGTTTCTTTTCCGTGGTTGTAATCCTTAAAATTACATTATTAACAGTAAAACTGAACAAATTGAAAGTTATCTTTTCCTCTTATATTCCTTGTTCAACGAGTTCATTTCCTTGATCAAACCATGATGAAAATTTTTCCAATCACATTTACATTAAAGTTTTTAAACTTCAAGATTTCCCACATTCATTTAGCTTAAATCCCGCATGATAAACGAATGATATCTCTAATCAAAGATGATCACGCAGTCTCCGATTTTTTAGGAATGAAAATAGGTTTTACGTTAATTGGTTTATGTTTGGCGTAAGGTGAAGCCGGTGATCCAACAATTAACACGTGATTACCCTTTAACCATAATCTCCACATGCTTTTATGAAATCCTCGAGCATCTAAGTCCCAGATTCGTAAACATCTCGCTATATTATTCCATGTTGTCCAGTCGTTAGCATGTTTCATTTCAATATAAAATATATATGTTTTATCAGATGTTTCTGGAACAAAGTCTTTCTCGTTCTTGCAAGGATTTTTACTGTGATCCAACGGCTCTGCCAACCTGTAAAAAACAGTAGATAGACATCTCTAACAATCAAATGACATAAATATACGCACTATGATGATAATTAGATCACTGAATCACTAAGTAGAAATCTCCTCATTGTCCTGAAAAGAAAAATATTGTTGTCAATATTTTATAAAATCCTGCAAGACATACCCTACAAGCCGTTCAATCTCCTTCTCATAATTTTCTTTTTTCAACAATCCAACATTAAACTTAACGTTAGGTTCAGTATTCAACGTATGTTTTTTGAAATAGGATTCTTGAAAAAATACATTCATATTCAGGCCTTTGGCGCCAAAATGGTAGGTTCTTGAGATATCCGGAATGATACATTCACGTCCCTTTTTGTTGCTGTCCATCCTCATCCACATATCCCAATCCCAAAAGAGATCAGGGGTTGGCCATTTTGGCTCAAGTTCTTCTTTATAAAGTCGTCGTTTGAGCAACCTGTTAATGCAAAGAGAAATAATAGATAGAATGAAGTTTATACTATCTATACATTTATAGTGCTGCGTGATGTCATTGTGGCGTGATGTCATTGCAGCGTGAGGTCATTGTAGCGTGATGTCATTGCAGCGTGATGTGCTTGTAGTGTGATGTCATTGTAGCATGACGTCACTGTTGCGTGATGTCATAGCGTAAACAAAATCATTTGTAGTAATAAAATTCTCACCAGCCTAAACCAGGCATTGTTTCTACACGATATAACATTGCAGGATCATTACACGTGTGATCATAACCCAAAAATAGAAATACTTGTTTTGCAATTAAATCATTAATCACATAAATTAGTTTTCAATGGATGTACCATTTCTAAGGTAAATTTCCTAAATTTCACTTTGTGATGTGCAAGGAAGGAAGCTCGATAAAGACAAACATAATGTAACCAATGAAAACTACAATAAGATAACAGATTCTTGTACGGAGATTTCCATTTTCCATTATAATGTGAAAAATATTTGAGATTTATTTAATTTACATTCTGCACTCTCGTCAGAGATAAACTGGACTCGACAAAAAGCAAAAGAATCAGAGACGTTCAAAACCACGTTAATAAAGTTGAAAACGAATTAAAATTTTGTGTGTAGCAAACACAAGCCAACAATAGAGTAAAAGACTAAAAGATGAAAAGAATGTTGTTAGCTTTCGTTTATAACAAACCTGATCATTCCACGCCGATATACAGTACAGACTTTCATCTGTATCCATTAAAGGCAAAATTGATTAAAATAACTAAATATGTCCACAGATACGTCTAAATCTTCTTCCAAAATAATCATATACCCAGCATTGGGATAAGCATTAAACGTCTCTGTCAATGTTCGCTTGTAATGCTGGGAGGAAGAGAAAATACATTTAAAAGTAATAAAAGGAACGAAAAATTTTGATTACATCGTGTAAACACTCTCAAAGAAAAAGCCTTACCAACCTGTGATATTCTAGCGTTCTTACTGCTAATAGGAATATGCTGTACGACTTTTACATCATATAGCCTTGCCACAGCAGCTGGTTCTTCAAAGAATCCATCAATAAATACAGTAACTCCTTCTTTGCTCCATGAGCTGACAACATTGACCGTAAGCCACGATAAAGATAATGTGGCCTGTTACTAGCAATCACAGCAACAGGAATGTCTTGAACTTTTTCTAACTTCAACGGTGTTGTTTTAATTTCAATTGGAGCAGGATTATTACCTACAACATTTAAGAACATATTCTGTCAGTTCTTCATATCGTTCTAACATTAGCTGCAATAACAGTGATATCCTTATTTCTACAATTTTTCCATGGAGTATTCTCAGAATATTTTCTCGAAGTTTTAATGCACAATGTGAATGGCAAAATTACTGAACACATCGCTGTACGTTCAATTAAATAAGAAATCTAATCCTACATGGATGTAACGAAAAGATACTTACAACTGCATACACTTCCATAGCCTTCAAACTTATCACAAAACATTCTTCTTTGCTTTGATTCTTCACTGTCATCCCAAGCACATTGAGATTGTTTAGCAGGAACAAGAGGAACTGTAGCACGAGCAGTGACAGGCTCACCCCAGTTCGATATGTCTGCTGCGTGATGATGTTTCTCTGAGTATTTCTGGCCACGTTTTGTGACGATAAATGACCAGCTATCCCGCCATTTTAGTTCATCGGCATAAACACTACCAAGACTTTTGAGCAAAAGCAATATCGGCGATCATGTAAAGACACAGTTCTCCACGTAAAGGATTCTTTAAGAAACTCTTACAAGTGTCAAGGAAACATTAACTTGTAGCATTATTTTTCCATCTGTTAAAATGTGACTTCAATACGATCGGAAATATACGTACTGACTTAATGGTCATTGTTTTTCTCCATTTCTCTTCCATTTGACTTGTGCAAGCAAAATGGTAGTTCAGTATAATGAGAATTTGCGCAAATTTAAGGGAGACTGGCAACGGCAAATACTTCATTGCTATCTTACAATTGGTTCATTTGAATTTTGTTTTATTGTGATTGGTTTGACGGATTTCGACTGATAGCCAACTGAACTAACATAGTCAAGCTCACTGTCTGAATTGAATGTTTGATCGTTTCATAGCAATTTTTATAAGCATGATAGAAACTAAACTACAATCAGATGGATTTTATGGAAATCTTTTACAAATTCATATATTGACATGAATGAAGCTGTCCAAACTGTGAATTTTTCAAGAGGGTGAAAATTTATGGATAAATTGTAAATGCTTGGCGAAGACGATCTCATGAGCGAAATTTCAGTCATTGCTGTTCAAAAGAAAGCCAACGTTGTTTGAGTTTTATCAGCAGAAATTTACATCCAAAATGGTAAGTAAAGGACATGTGAAGTGTATGCATGAATGTAATATATCAAAGTCAATTTATGCGAGTATGTGATGCGATTTATGTCAATATGGCATATGGTAAGCAGATTGATGCTTCTAAAATTGTTGTTGCCGAAGGAGTTTTAGCTATAATTTTAGTGCTTGGGGAATCGTGCCGTTATATGGCAGCAAAATCCTACATTCCCGCAAATATATTTCAATGGACAAAAATCAGCCATAACGCGCCATACTATTATTTACTTTATCATAAGCAAATGTTTGGGGCTTTTCAGTTTATGATCATTGATCATTCAATCATTGGACAGTTATACTACATATTGTTTAAGATTTGAGAAAACTAACATTGATTAAATGAGAAGCTGTTTACTATAACCTGTGATTTTGAGTCTTCTGATCCATGAAGCTTTTTATTTTGACAATTTGACTGGAATGGTATTAAACCTGAGTATTTCACATACATGAAATGTTGTCCCATGTCACATATTGTCCCCTTTTCAAACTGAACACCTCATGTAGAGATGAAGGTGTGTTAATCATGCTCATACCATAAAATCCAAAGTTGCCATAAAATCCAAAGGGCTATTGATGTATGAAAAGCATTTTTATAGAGTATAAAATGTCTTCCTATGTATGCAGATAAACCTTGAAATTTAACAAAACAGCAAAGTATTTTCATGATCACTATGTAATTTTTCTGATGATCATAATTTCTAAACTAAATTATTTCAGATCAAACGAGCTTTGATCATATCAAAG